TATATAATATTTTAAAATAATGAATATCTTTGTGTATATAGGAATGAGATGACATATCACATTAAATAAAATTTTATATGATTTTTCCTTAGATGATAATCTTTTTTCCAATAGTACACAATGAAAAAAAGAAATAAATTTGAAAAAAAAAAAGAATTAGAGAAACCCACAATCAATCTCATAAACCCAATGAACAAAACCACTACTAGTTTCCACCCAACAAAGAACGAAAATGATGTAGGGTTCGAGTTGTCGAGTCGAGTTCCTCCAGATCAAGGTCACTGGAAGGAGAAGGCATGTCCTCAAGCCACGTCACTAACGTTGACGATTCTGAAATGATGTGATTGTGAAAGAGAGATGCGATACAGTTACAATAAAAATTGAACCGATAGAGAGGGAGAATGGCGGAGGACAGACAATTAGAGGAAGAAGAAAAAAGGGTATATAAGAAAATAAAATAAAATAGAAAAAGTATATTCTTAACTATTGATTTGAATTTTGAAATCACATAAATCTATTGGTCTCAAATTCTTTCCCATGTTGGAGTTTCGTGGAAGAAGAAAGGATCGCAAAAGAAATAGAGAACACAACAAAGAAAATAAGTGTCATTATTATTACAACATGATATACAACATTAATCATATTTTAACTGATTTTATATAACATTGGATATAATCACAACCTATGTTGTATTTGATATATAACTTCGATTAAAATATAATTAATATTATATATTATTTGCAACATCATACAATATAATATTTAATTGATATTAAAAATGATGACATTATTATAAAAATGTCATCGTGTCTTTTATTATATTAATGACTTATAATCGATGTTAATTTTATAATTATCTTTATTTTTTATTAGTGTTTTACGTTTAAAATAAAAAGTAACAAATTATAATGATCACTCAAATTAATTAAGCATGTTCACGAATTATTTTTATATGAGAATAAAAATATAAAAAAAAATTAGGTGAATTTTATGATGCTTAAATATAGAGTGAGCCAAATTTTATTATATACGCACTATAGAAAAATCTTACATATCATATAAAAATGTCATTATAGATATAATATATGTAGATGCATATTTATTTGACATATGATTATATATAATCTTAGTGTTAATTTTGAAGGAGATTTAACAACATATTTTATGTATTACTGTAATCTATATTTACACTTTTTAATAATATATTATTGGGATAAAATTTTGAAGTACTTGAAGCATTCTCAAGGGATCATTTGATAATTGAAGAAGAAAAGTTACAAACAATTCAAATAAGATATACACATAGCATAAAACACGGGTCGGTTAAAATATCACATGTGGAGTTTATACACAACATATTTTTTTAGGTTCGTTCCTAGAGTATCCACCGCCGTGACTAATCTCCTCGCTACGTTGGAGGCACCTCAAAGGGTGGGATAGCTGGCCCCAAGATTTAACGCGGCTGCATACACAAGGCAGGATTCAAACCCCTGACCTTGCTTAAGCGTGGATCAACCCCTACCGCTGAACCACACATTTGGGATTACGCAACATATAAATTGCCTTTAGATATAAACAATCTTGCAAGAAAATTTTGATAGTCAAGCAAACGGCTACAAACGGTTTAGGGAAGTTATCCATGTTGTGTAAACAACGGAACACTTATATGTCACATGAGACCAATGTATAATAATCGTCTCTCAGAATGATTATATGTCGCATGCTAAAAGACATTAAAATTGAACCTCAACTAGTTTAACTTATTAATCCCTTATATTAATGTATATGAGCTTCATTCCAGAAAATTTGTTGCATGCCAAGATGATACGTAGTTGACATATATTGAAAATCCCATACGCTAAACATATCTAAATTTAAAATTTTGCTAGTTTGAATAAAAAAAATCCACGGACAAAAAATTCTCGCAAACATATAGTAATATACATTATAAAATGCGTATAACACTTTATGACAATTTTTTTATATAGTGAGCAATCCGGTTTACAAATAAAAATTGTGTTATAAAATGTATCACTAGGATTTTTTTGAATAATAAACTAGTTGCAACTGGTCTGTTACTTAACAATAAAGAGTCCCTATTTTTGGAATCGATAGTTTTTTTTTATAATATTTTTCTAACTTAAATTTCAATTACAATGGATAATAAAAAAGGACCTCGATGAACCTGACGCAGAAGAATACATTTATAACACATTGAAGTAGAAAATCTTAATAACAACAACAATACAATCAAAGGAATATTTATAATTAACTCAAGAGGGTATCTCGTATCGTACCACCCCCCCTCAAGGAATTATTCATAACACACTATTAGAGCTGCAGCTCTAGTTTTATTATTAGTACTTATACAGCAGCACATAAATTAATACATGCATGCAGTTGATCATACTGCATAGCACATAATTAGTAAATCATATGCGGTAGTTCCACGTCGATGAATCAAAATTACCACCGATAAAGCCCCCGTTGCCATTTCCATGGAAATTACCATGGTTATTTATAGCTGGGGAATAACCATGGTGGTTGGAGATGTGATGAGAGTTGCCATCGCCAGCATATGCACCACTGTTGTTCTTTGTGCCAGTGATGTTCTGAGACCCTTGGCCAGAGTTGGTGTATGTGTGCACGTTACTTTTGGACTTTTGGGCAGCTTCCTCGGCTTCAAGGGCTGCAAGGAGGTTTCTCAATTGACTTGTCAATGCCATGGCTTTCTGATATTAAGTACACCTAAAAGTCTTATCTGTGTTGGATTTCCTTGATGTTAATTATGAACCGACTGAGCCACCTATTTATAGATTTAACCTAACTCTAACTAGGGAATCGTGCTTAGCTTGGTCACGAAGCAATATTAATATTATTTTAGTTATGTTGGGCGCAGCTGGGAAGAGAATATATGTATCCTACTATTATTATTCTGCGATTTTCATAACGTGATAAGGCCAGTTTCCTGCCAAACATTATCGAATAAACTTACATGAATCATCGGGACGGTGCCAGAAATATTACTTTACCTCTTAAATGAACCCACGTTATGGGAAGAGTTATACTTTTTTATAATAATAAAAAAAAATAGCAATTTAGCAGTGATGATATCATTTATATTTTATATAATAAAAAATAGCATGAATTTTGAAAATTTTAATTGTTATTTTTCGATTCAATAAAGAAAAATTACTGTATAAACAACCATTTAAACTATTAAAAGGAAAGGAAACCAATGTTTTTCTAGATCCATATTTAGAGTTTTCTGTATTTTCATTTGCAAATTGCAACTCATACGTAAGAGAGTGATTGATAAATATAAAATGACAAAAAATATATATTAATTAATATAACATTTTTATACGTTTCATCTAATGGACAAAATTAATATTATATTTTTAGATAATTATAGTTTTATGTTTTCTATATCATTTTAAAATAATTATTACTTTTTATAATATAAGATATTTTATTAATGATTAAAAATAGTTTAAACAGTGTAATAATTGAAATAAATAAAGTAATATCATTAAGATGAAATAAATATAATATTGTAAATATTTATAATGAATGTGAGGGATTTCTCAGATTAATGACATGGGGTAAAATTTAATTTATCAAAGTGATAAGTATAAAAATTAAAAAAGAAAAAAGAAAATATATATATAATAAATTATAGAATCTTAAGTATGTTGCGACACTAAATACTGTGAGGAACTTAATTTTTCATTCATTAATGATCAAATCATAATTTATATGTTACTAACAAGGTTTAGTATGATTAATAAATAACCTATCTTTTAGCATATGGTGTTGGACGAAGAGCAAAAGTGAGAATGCCGGGGGCTTGAGTAACTCATGTGTTAGTGAGAATTCAATGTCTCAAAAAACTGGAAAGTTACTTCGCAAGGTTCGTGCATAGAAGGCGAGTCAAGACCTAAACAATATTTATATTATCCCATATTGGTCTCTCGAAGGACGGAGGAAGTTAGATTAGTAAAAAAAAATGGTTATTGGTTTAAGATGTGTGTAATTAAGGGGAATCAATTACTGATTTGTGTATATACAAAAATATTTGTTAAAAAAATCAATTCTTTAAATAAATTTCAACACTATAAAGGGGGTTATTCTTAAGTTTTTAACTAAGAGATATCTTGGATTTAAAAAAATGTCACTATATTAATAAAACAAATTGTGAGTTAGTAAGAGAAGTTTATTCAATGCACCTTTATATTTTGATCTAACAAAATTAAAATTTTGTTGTATATATAAATTATGAGTTTGCTTTGGTTAAACTAGTATTTAAACAGTTATAATACATGGATTAAATATTTATAATAAAAATTTAATCCATATTATTATAACTATTTCATTATATTATTATAACCAAAATTTACAATAAGTTATATATAAAAATAAATACTATATTTAAATATATAAAATATATATAAAAAAATTTATATAAATAGATATTTTTAAGCATATAAAATAGTATTTTAAATTTATGATATATAAATTTATATTGTGACACAAGATTTTTTTTTTGTTATCCATGATTTATTTTTAAATATTAAAATTTAAATTATAAATAAATATGATAAATAAAAATTGAAATGAATAAGAAATTAAAAGAATCTTTTAAAAATCCTCTCGTCAAATAAAAATTCTTAAAAATAAATTTGTAAAAAAAATCTCTAAAATGAAAAATAGTCATTTCTATATATAAGAATGGATATTGTGATATTTTTAAAAAAGTTAAATTATATTTTTGATCTTTTTAAAATTTATTTTTGTATTTAATTTTTTGTTTTTTATATTTAGATTGACTCTTTTAAAAAAGTGTGACTTTCAATTTTATAACACGATGCATAAAATTTATAATATTATATTCATTTATATAAAAATTATAAAATTTAATTAGCGTTCAAATATTCAAAAGAGACATAATAATCATACTAAAAATCACGTAAATAATATATCCCACAAACAATT